TTTCTCTCTTCGCTTCTCGCAAGCCTCATAAATGTGCCTTGGTTCTTTGGGTAGGGACAACTGAGGTCGCTTATTTCCGATGATTCTCTCTCCTTTCACTCTTACCATTTCTTATACCTTTGCCTGTTTGTGAAGTCTCCAGCATCATCTGCGAGTACCCTTTTTACATGCATTCTACGAACATTCCAACTGACTGGATATTTCTTCCGGTGTTTTCTGCGATTATTTAGGGCTAAGAGGGTTTCTGCGTGGGAATGCATGCGTGTACTGTTTTTCGACATTTTCTCGAGCTATATTTTTACATTCTCTGCCTCCAAAGACACTACAATGTAGATAAGATGATACAAAGAAGCCATCTTCCTTTTCAACCAACAGGGTTTGGCTCATGGTTTGTCGTAGTATGTAGATCGTTGATACAGGTAGTCAATTGGTGAAGAGTGGAGGCCATGTGATCTGCGCCTAAAACACCAGGCTGGCCTTATCCTTCCTCCGCAAGAATCACCATACTTAGATTCCAGTCACGCTGCCTTTCATTTTTTTTTCCCTTCTATGGACTCATAGCAGCTTCACCATTGAATATTCTATCATTAGGGTCATCTAGCGCAACAACTTCAGTCTTCAGGCGCTCAAAACGCCGCGATCCCCTGCACAACCGTTGTTGACGATACTATGACCCAAGTCTAATCTGTACAACTCTCACCACACAACCCAATTCCACCTGACCCCTTACCTCTTGCTATAAATCTTTGAACGTATCTGAATCAGTCACAACATGGTGGATTGGCTCAGTCTCGCCGTGCCGCTCGCCTACCTCGGCGTTCTGCTCGGCTCCCTAGCAACTTTCTCGTCACTATACCGCAAGCGCAAGGCCAGTGAGTTGACTCTATCTCTCCCACACGGAGATTGATCGCTGATCCAATTGTCGCGATTCGCAGGAAAGGCAACTTCATTAGAACCATGGTTCCCCCCGCACCTCCAACGAGACATCTACTTCTCCCTTCTCCATCATGACCCGCCGGCCTCATCCTCCTCGAAAGAGAAAAAGGCCCCAGCGGTGCCGGAGACGGTACTAAAGGCCGCGCTTCTCCGGCGCGCAACCGAGGATATCAAACGCGTTATGGCGCTCCGAAACCAGAAGCAGGCACTAGCTATGCTTCTGCAACGGGGCAGTGTCGGGGACGATCTGTGGCAGCGATTCCAGCGGGCGGAGAAGGAGATGGAAGACGAAGTGCGGGATGTTGTTGCTGAGGTTTGTTTTTGATCCTGTTTCATTCAGTCCCTGCATGGGTGGGGAGGAGTTTTGCTAATTCCGGTGCTTCCCCCAGGCCAACGCGTACGTGCCGAACTGGGGCCAAACGATCTTTCAGTCCGCGAACGAGATGCTCAACAATGCCCTGTTCCGTGAGCGACTGCAGAGTTACCAGAGCAAGTTGGCCGAGGAGCGGGAGTGGTGGGATAAGAAGAAGGCGAGCATTCAAGAGGGATTTATGAAGGAGCTGGATGCAGAGAGTTCCGTTTCCACAAAACCCGACCAAGCTACATCTACCACGACGACTACCAGCTCGACACCCGGAACCAAGACTCCTGAGTCATCCGCTGCGCCATCCACTGCAGCCGAAAGTGATGACGAGGCTGTATTGGTTGAGGCTGCCGACACTACGGCGGGTGGATCGAGCAGTGCCAGTAAGAAGAAAAAGAAGGGCAAGAAATGAAGATCGAACTTGTTAGATGGGATTTTGTTCATTTTGCAGGAGACACTTCGATCTGTGAAACCACAATTACCACGGAAAGCAGATTCGTACTCTGCACCGCCGCTCCTGACGTTTAATCAAGGGAGCGAAGTTTATGTGGGCTGGTCCAACTGCTCTCTCGCCATTCATGACTGTAATAGTAGCTACCTCTCTGTGCATGGGATCCAATGGAATTAGAACATTATGACAATCCTGGATCCTTAAGTCATTCTGAAATACTATTCCGGGAATAAATTTGGTCAATGGAACCATAGGAGAGACGAATGAGTATATATGGTCAACCTAATGTACAGCAAAGCTAAGTCAATTTTCCGGATCGCACCAAAAACGCCAATCTATATGCCTGTGATGATTGTCCGCCGCCATAATAGTACAAATCCAATGACACGATGGTGATGGCACCAGTGCTGGTATCTCATGACCCTCACCAAGTCTAGAGAAGCAAGCTATCATCATCCAATGAAGACCCGAGATCAACATTAGTGACGCCCATCTCGACAGCAACCTTCGCTATCTGATCCTCAATCTGGCCGGGTGCGGCAGCCGTTCGCGCTATGACAACGCGTAGCATATCACTCATGATCTCCAGTTGGTACTGTTGCTTCTCCTGAGGCTCGAGCTGATCGGGATTCAGGCCTCGCGCTTGCAGACCCGCCGCTTTGCGCTCACTCAGGATTTCGACGAGTCGGTTAACCTGCGCAATGTTCTCTTTGCTCCTCGGGGTGCTGGACAAACGCCGCAGACGACGCTTGGGCGTCTCCGCTGGAACACCGGCCATGCGCGCGACCTGCAGGATAATCAGACGGGCAGTCACCTCGTCGGGGGAATAACCAAAGGCTGCCCTGAGTGAATACAGCGCAACCAGAGTGCCGGGTAGATCCTTGGAGAGACAGAAACAGCGAATGATCTGGTCGTAGAGCTCTTTAGAGAATTCTTCCTGCGCGGTCGACTTGCCGCGGGGAGTGAGCTGAGAATACCACTTCATCATCTCTGCAAACAAACAGCGCGCGGATGGAAACCCTGCGTCGAAGGCTGTCCGGCCTCGGTCATATTGAAGCTTGCCACAGTCCCATAGGCAGGCGTATGTCTCCAGGTCTGGTTTGATCGACACAGACATGGCTTTGAACTTGTTCCAAACGGAGCGAATATCTTGCTTTCTGAGCTCCGCATATAAAAGATGGTTCATGAAATATGAATTCGGCCGGATTTGAGCATCCCCAAGGCATTTGACTAAATACTTGACCATGTCATCATCGCCTCTTCGGGTATAATGGAGTAGGAGAATCGAAAAGGTCTCAATGTTTGCTGAGGGCACCTGTCTCTGCATGAACTTTGGAATGCGAGCGCCATCTGTCTCCTGACGTACACGGAGCTGAGGAGATTTCCCAGGCGATGCGGTCCGTGCCCATACCGAGTCAATCCGCTGCTGGACCATGGACCACCCCAGTTGCTCAGCCTTGGCTCGCGCAATGGCATTACCTTCACGGAGCCATGCAGCAAGTATTCCATTCAAATGCTTAGAGTCTGGTTTGACACCCCGTTCGTACATCAGCTCAATCACCATCGCAGCGGAGTCAACCTCGCCCATTCCGATAAGCTTCTTCATCCAGCTTGCATAGAAAAATCGGTTCTGGAACCGCCGAGGTAAAACGGTCAGAGTCGAAAGCGATATCTTATTGACGTCCTGTTCACGAATGCTGGACATCTGCAAATTGCCTACTAGACCCAGGGCGGCCTTATAAAGGGCAGTAGAGTCATTTGCTGGATCTTGAGCGGTCACCATCATGTCCTTAAAGACGGCAATGGCAAGGTCGAGTCTGCCCGCCTTGAGCAGTCCAATGCTAACGAAGTCATAGTCTTCCATCGTCATTTTGGACTCTAGCAACGCCTTGAGCTGCAAGTATAAAGCCCATGCCTTGATTTCGGCTTCTTTCCCGGGCTGTCTTCCCCAGGCTGTGATGACCGGAAGAAGGATGCGAGGCTCGCGCGATTTGTCGTTGGCCAAGAATGCTAAGGCAATATCTTGAGCTCGCTGCGGGTCATCTGCAGCCGCGAAGAGCTGTACACCAAGTTTCCAGTATGCCTCAAGGTCTTCCTTCTTCTGGGAAAGGGATGTCTGACACGCCTCCCATTGATCAAGTGCCAAGTTTATTTTGCCACTTTCCTGAAGTGATTGTATGTATAAAAGGGCATGGGGTGTAGGGAGAGATCTCCCGGCGGAAACTGTGTCTTCAGCCAGGGCCTGTAACCGAGTCGCGCGAGAAGCGCGCGTCAAATCCCCATTTGCCTGAAACTCCCACATCATGGTCAATGCATCTTCGGGAATTGATTGGAGGAAGTTGGGGATAACTTGTCGACAGCGGCGATACCACTTCCACAGTTCTTGCTTAGCACGTTCATCAGAATGGTCATTTGCCAATCGTCTGAGACACTCATTGAGCTTGTCGATGTAAGGATGAGTTTCTGCGTCGTTCAAGTTCACCTCGTAGGGCTGTCTCGGCACTGGTGCTTCCATAGAGCCTTCCTCCCCCGCTTCCGACAGCCAATTTTCTTCCTCCATTGCCATGCCTTCGAACTCTTCCCTGAGCATATTATCCAGCTCGTCATCGAAGACCTTATCGAGACCCAAGTCGTCATCCGCTTCACCTGTCTCCTCTGCATGCTTTTGAAGGGCTTCAAGCGCTATCTTCCTTTCATGTTCCGGCAACTCTCTCATGAAGGCGCTATTCGGACCATAAGGGCCTTCTCTCAGGACCTCTAATTCCTTGTCGAGCTGGGAAAGCTCACTCTCCACCTCTTCCTTCGCTGCGCGATCTTCAGCCTCCGGATCGATTTCCCGCCTGGTCTTACTCCCTCGCGTATCCTGCTCGTAGAAGCGAATCTTATCATCTTTTCCGCCATAATGTAGAAGCTGTGGCGCTAGAACGGAGAAGGCTCGCAGTCGAGACAAGGACGTAATCGACGGGCTTTTGTGGGCCACATATTGATACCACCGAGCTCCTCGAGCAGCTTGGCGGAGCATGAAGTATTGAGTTTAGATCATCGGACGAAACTGTCGAGACACTAAAAGCAAGGACGTCAAGAGAGAAAATGGATAGATGAGGATCTTGAAGCTCCGCGGCGAAAGAGCCACTATTACCCGATTTGGCTTAGTGGCACACGCGAAGCTCGGCCGCGGCATTCGATGTTCACCATTATTGTTTCTCAAGAGCTGTCTGGCCTACTTTTCCCACGGAGGCTTTTCGCGCGATGGATTCTGACCATATAGAGACGGATGCGCTGGGCCCACTTAAAGATGGATCAAATAGCCAGGTACGTGGAAGAATTGACGTTCAAGGCTGCACTGAACTAATGCTGACACAACTAGGGTGTCTATATCTATAAACCTTCTATTCAAAACAAAAGTCATGGAGAAAGACCCTCGAAACGGCGAAAAGTACAGTCGGAGAGGAAAGCCGAAATAGACACTGCCTATCCCTTCGTTCCCTTATTGAACGGCGACGAGCCCGAACCTGCTGTCAAATTACGACACGAAACCTACGAACAACTATGGTCCGAGCAGGAAGCAAAGATCCAAGTTAGTGCTATAAACAGTTCTAGCATGGCTTGACATCTTCTAACTTCAAGTTAGGAAATTCTGGTAGATATCGACTCCGATGTTTATGAGAGAGTTTCGTCTTTTGTCAGATCGACCTCATTCGAGACGTACGGACATCCCACCAGTGGCACTTGATTTTCGGGTTACAGAATCTAATTGGAAATAGATATAAAGGGTGCATACCGGCAGCGTTGGTCACTGTCGGGTCGAATGTTTCCTCCCTCGGTCGGCTACTTGCGCGTTTGAATGATCAATTGACCTCAACAGGGGAGGGTGGTGTAGTTGTGCTGGAATCCGGGGATACACCTAACCTGAAAACGACCCTGAAAAACATCATACGTGCCGCAGTGACGAATACGGAAGGGAATGATGGGTACCAGAAGTTATTGACAGACCGAGAGGTTAGACTGCCCTCCTCTATCCGAGCGTGACGAATTCGATGGCTTAGAGTGGTACAGGGACCAAGACTTCTAGCATACGACCTTGACTTGCTGAGCGACTATGCGAAAAGAAAGGGAGTCAAGAAGATGGTGCTCGCATTTCGAGACAGCGAAGCCTTCGATCCCACCATCTTGACAGACCTATTGTTGCTACTGAAGTGAGACCAGAGTCCTTGGTTTCGATTATCGAGAATCTGACATATTACTGCAGCTCATGGCTCGACAGAATACCTTTTACTCTATTATTTGGTATTTCAACTTCTGTTGAGCTTTTCGAAGGGAGACTTCCACGATCGACTGTCGCCTTACTCAGAGGCAAATATTTTGAGATTCATGAAGCGAGCAACTGTGTCGATCGCATATATGAGCGACTGCAGGCGGATCCGAGCGGCCGTTTCTGGCTGGGTCGCAACATTACTGCCGTCCTATTCGAGAGATCGAACGATTACTTTCAGACGCCGGAGGCGTTCAGTCGAGTGATCAAGGTATCTTCCAGCACCTCCGTCATTCAAGATCCAATATCTCACAAACATCTTGGCAGTATTCTTATATGACCCACTTTTTTGCGAATGCTTTGTCCGTACTTCTTGCAAACGATTTGCCTGGGACCCTTCGGAATGGTCCTCTTTGCGAAGCAATCAGAAACCTTCCATCCTTTCGAGGGTGAGTGTCTTGTTCCCCTGCGGTTGCGTGCTTTGACTAAATGGTATGAAGCTACTGTGAGCATCTCCTTGAGGTGGGGTCGTTCGATCAAGCTCGCAGATTGCTGGAAGATGACGAATTCTTCTTCCAAGAAATTTTGCGGCATCTTAGATCCGGACAGCAGAAGATGCGTGATATCTTTCAGACTGTCAGATGGATTCAATCATGTCGCAGAAGTCTGAATCTTACCAAGAGAACAGATATTTCGGAACTTTCCATCCGTGCCCTATCAGGAGACCTGCTGAACTCCTCCTCTGTGGAGGACATGATGACGATCTTGAAAAGCCTGGATTCCAAAAGGCTGGGGGACATCTTCGCTAGTCTTCCGGATGGCTTGACGAAAGGCCAGGAATTTCAACAAATCAAAGGAGACTTAGATGCTCTATTGCAAGAATATCAAGGCGCTGAACCGCTTCGAAGTGAGTATGACAGCCGACAGTCCGTGGTGGCAATGACCGTTGTTCAACAGCGGGTCAAACTCAGTAAGGGGAAAAACAAGGTGTCCAAACACAGCGTCGGCTACACGAGGATCATTGATCGCATTTATCATTTATTAGAGGCGTATCTTACGGAAACCCTGCTTAGGCCGCAGGACTTGTGCTTGCATGAGGTATTCTTCCTCGATATGAGGAACCCTCTGAAAGAGACATTCGCACCGCGGCCTCGGTTCGCCATTGAACGGGCTTTGTCAAATCCATTTGATTATCTGATATCGACGTCAGAGTCTTCTGAAAAGACGCTCTCTACTAAACAGCCCGCCACAGCGATCTTGTATCAGCTTTACCTCGAGTCTGGCTCTCTGGTTAACGTATACGATATTTGGCAGGCTTTCTATGCGGTCTTCGAAAGCGAGCAATGTGACAGCTGCGACGAACGAATGATCATGACTATGTTCTACAGGGGTTTGTCCGAGCTCAAAGCATTTGGCTTCGTCAAGAGCAGTCGGAAGAAGATTGATCATGTGGCGAAGTCGGCCTGGATGGGGTTATGAGCGTAGCACGCGAAACTTGTCGCGAATATGCGAATTCGTAATATATAGTGCTATCAACTATAAAGGGTATCATGAATGCATGAGAAAATGTTCGATCAAACAAATATGCAGAAGTCATCAGGCAGAATATCACACAACCTCTCGAGAAGGATAGTCTTCGCCGTCGAAGATTAAGGACATGCGGGCCGTTCCAGTCATTCTGCGATAGGTATTTGAAAGATATCGTCATTATTCAATGGATGAACTCCGTCGCTCAACACCATGGCTTCCCTCCTGCGCCTCCTGACGGCTTGTTCTTCTGCGGTTCCCCCGCGAAGCCTTCTCCCCGAAAGGCGCCTCGACCCGGCTGTATCTTCGCCATCGATCATCCATACATCGCTGTCTTCTTCATCGTCATGGTCATTCTCCTCCATCATGCTGCCCATTAGACCATACTTTCTTAATTGTTTTGTACCGTCGGGATGAGATGATAGCGTGCTGAATATTGCACTCATGATCGTGTCATCAGACCACCAAGTCTTCATGAGTATCACCACGTCCTGCCTCCGCGACGGCTTCGTCAAAGCACACGGGAATGGGTATTTAGAAAGCCAACGACTGACCACACCAGCTTCCAGCGCAGCAGGAATATTTTCTTGCAGGGTCAGATTGAGAATACTTAGTGCTTTTTTCTCGCCCAGCGGTCTCGTTTTTGGCAGGATAGGCGAATCGGTGGTAGAGGTTTCTTCAACATGCTCCTCAAGGAAATTGCACAAACAGTCGACGAGGGCAGTGTAGGTAGAGAGGTCTTTCAGGTGAGAACAGACAGCGGTTCGTGAAACTACATATTGCAACTCAGTCAGTATGCGATCAGTCTAAAGTATATATCGATGGAAATCGTACGCGCTCTATTAGATAGCAGGAAGTATAGCGCTGTTAGCGCTCTACCTCGTCGCTCTTTATTTTTGCTTGCCAGGTCTTTTAGAAGCAAATCCCGCGTCGAACCTTTCGTAGATCGTTCCGCAATGATGCGTAGTGCCCTGGACGGATCATTAGCCAATGTCAACGCTTCATGACACGAAAGCCGGTGCAGCGTACGCAGCACGAAGGTCGTAACTTGTGCTATCGGACAGCTTTAAAAGTGTATCTAGTTTGAGAGCTGTGATGGAAGTCAGTCCCTGAAAAGCCTCTTGTGGCGACATTCAGCATACCATCCTCCGTGCCCTCACTGATTATTTTGTCTTCCTTTTCGACCAGCTTGATCTCCGTCAAATCACTCACGCGGCGGAGATCCGCAGCAATTCCGCGGACGGCGAAGAAGAGAGACACGCCTGATACGTTAGCTTTCTAAACAAACATCAAGAAGCCGTATAAGTAGAACATACCCAGACATAACCAGAGAAACCTGTCACTCAAATGAGAAGCCATCTTGCTGTGGCAATCCAGGTTCCCAAAGGACATCTGCATGTGAGGAGAAAGCGGAGTAGTTCGATGATCTCAAAAGCGGTGCGGCAGAATTTCCCCGACGAAAGCGGTGAGCCTACTTTTTTTGCGGGCAATCATTGAAAAATGCATCGTCCAAAAAATTTCGGTGGAGCAGCAAGGCGCTTTTACTTCAACACCAACACATCACCATGCCGCCTTCGCAGTTGAAGCAGTTGAAGGCGTCGCTTCGCGACAGTGGTGTTCTAGCGCCGCAGCAGTCCAAGAAGCAAAAGCGCCAGAATGCGAAGGCTGGCGTCAGCGCTCAGAATCGTGTGCAGCGGAATGCCGCTCTACAAGCAATTCGAGATCGATTTAATCCGTTCGAAATCAAAGTGACGTCCCGGAACAAGTTCGATGTGACTACTAGAGATGGAGGCTCTAAGCCGGCCGCTGGTCTATCAAGGCCCGGAGTGACAAAGTCACTTGGAGAAGAAAAGGTGGGTTGAATGTGGCTCAAAATGTAGACTGCCCGGTAACTAAGATTTTTTTTTTCTGTGTGACAGAGACGCCAAACGCTTCTCCGTGAAATGGAGAGGAAGAACAAGATTGGTGGTATCGTTGATCGCCGTTTCGGTGAAGACGATCCGACCATGACACCCGAGGAGAGAGCCGCCGAACGGTTTGCCAGAGAAAGTCAGAAGAAACTGCGCAAGGAGTCGATCTTCAATCTGGAAGATGATGATGAAGACGATTTCCAACTCACGCACAAAGGCCAGACGTTAACCCTCGGCGATGGCGCCCCTCAGGACGATTTTGAAGAGGACCTGGGTGGATTGGAGGAGGATCAATCCGACTCGGAAATGCTGCGGAAAAGGAAAAGAATTCTCGATGATGATGGAGAGCTGGAAGATTTTGTCTTTGATGATGAGGATGGAGAGGATCAGCCGGAACGGAAAAAGTCGAAACATGAAGTCATGAAGGAAGTCATCGCCAAGTCGAAGTTCTACAAGCTGGAACGGCAAAAGGCGAAAGAGGAAGACGACGATCTCCGCGAAGAGCTCGATAAAGGACTTCCCGATCTTTTCGACATGCTGCGCGGTGTGAAGCCGCCATCAAAACCGGAGCCTGCGAAGGACGACCTGGAGTCGATGAACCCAGACCGTGCGGCTTTGCTGAAAGGGACCGCGGAGGATGACCCCAATAAAGAATACGACCATCGATTGAAACAATTGACGTTCGACAAGCGTTCTCAGCCAACAGACCGTACCAAGACGGCTGAAGAGAAGGCCGAAGAGGAAGCGCAGCGACTCAAGGCCCTTGAGGAAGAGCGTCTCAGAAGAATGCGTGGTGAACAGGAGAGTGACGAAGATGAGGAGGATGAGGAGGATGAGGGAAAAAGCGAAACGGGAGACGAGGGGTCTGACGATGAATCCATTCCAGACGACGCGCTGGCATTTGGTCTGCAGCAGCCTGCCACTCAGACAAATGAACGTCCCGAGCTGGAAGTCGAAGACGAGGATGACTTTATCATTGACGATGATCTTGTTGAGACGAGGTCAGATGTGAGTCTCTCATTCGACGAAAGCGACGGAGAAGAGGGATCATCTGAAGAAGAATTGGAGGAGGAAGACGAGGAACAAGATGAGCTTATCAATGGGTTTACACTTCCTACCAGCAAATCTGGGGATTCCACAGCAGCAGCCGATGGTGCACAAATGACCAGTGAAGGGTTGGCCTACACCTACCCATGTCCCGAAGATCATGAATCTCTCCTTGAAGTCATCAAGGACGTTCCCATGAATGACCTGCCTATTGTCATCCAGCGTATTCGAGCCCTGCACCACCCGCGTCTGCACGCCGACAACAAGACGAAGTTAGGGCGCTTCGCTGCTGTCCTTGTCCGTCATGTTGCTTATATGGCTGAGCAACCCGAACATCCTCCTTTCACCATTCTCGAGGCCATTCTACGTCACATTCACTCTCTCGCCAAGTCCCACCCGGAAAGCGTATGCATGGCCTACAGAAGGTATCTCCGTGAGATTGCGACGGATCGTCCTCTCAACCTGCGCGCTGGAGATCTTGTCATTTTAACAGGCATTGCAACCACCTTTCCAACTTCGGATCACTTCCACGCCATTGCTACGCCTGCCCATTTATGTCTTGCTCGGTATTTAGGTCAAGGAGCTATCAATACGCTCGGTGACTACGCCACAGGTGCCTACGCCGCCAGCCTGTGTCTCCAGTACCAGACCATTTCGAAGCGGTACATGCCCGAGTTCGTCAACTACGTGCTCAATGCCCTCTGCAATCTCTGTCCGACAGAACCAAACGGCAGCCTTGGGTACTTCCCGGCAAGGGGATCCCAAGAATCGCTGCGACTGATGCCCTCTAAACAGCTTAACCCTCGAAAGCTCCGATTCTGGGATATCGCCACCGCACAGTCGGATCAGCGGGCCCAGGACGAGCTTAAACTTTCTCTTATTCACACATTTGTCACCCTCCTCAATTCCGCGTCCGACCTGTGGGCTGGCAAGTCGGCATTCTTCGAGATCTTCGAGCCGGTGCAGCAAGTGCTCCGCCACGTGAGCAAATCCACAAAGGGGAAGCTCTCGTCTGCCGTCCAGGACAATGTGCAATTGACACTGGACAACCTTGACGCACATCTCTCCCGCGCGCGTGTAACCCGTCGACCATTGCTGCTGCACAACCACCGCCCGCTGGCGATCAAGACCGCCATCCCCAAGTTCGAGGAGACCTTCAACCCGGACAAGCACTACGACCCCAACCGCGAGCGGGCGGAGCTCAACCGCCTCAAGGCGGAGTTCAAGCGCGAGCGAAAGGGTGCCATGCGCGAACTGCGCAAGGATGCCAACTTCATTGCGCGCGAGAAGCTGCGCGACAAGAAGGAGCGCGATGCCGAGTACGAGAAGAAGTACAAGCGGCTCGTGGCGGAGATCCAGAACGAGGAGGGCCGAGAGGCGAATGCGTACGAACGGGAGAAGAGGAAGCGCCAGGGGAAGTGGTAGCGCCTTTCACTCCTCTCATGACATCTTTGTTACTCACGCAGTCTGTGGTTACGGGATTCTTGGTTTCTCTGGCATCATTATTGTCGAAGGCGTACCAGGCTCAAGGCTTTATTGTATATACACTTGTCAAACGACACAAAAGAAATTTCTCCTTTTTGCCCCATCATCCTACCGTAAAACAGAGGGCCCCAATTAGTGTACCCGATTCAGATCTACTGGCCCAGCGCCGTCCCAATGCTGGTCAGATATCCACACCTCTGCCTCTGATCAACCGGGACGCTTTCCATTTTCGTTTCGTTTGTCTTGATGAAAATACGGCTGTACCCTCCCCCATCACCCCAAGTCTTCCATTCGGGACTGCCAGGATAGCGATGAGTATTCGGATTGAACGTCTTAATGAAGCTTGTCCAGTAACCCTGCATGACCGGGACGATCGGAGCGTTCGTGGTAGTATAAGAGTGAGGTGCGCCCCCGTTCGTGTACTTGGGCCCCCAAATGGCGTTGACCTCCACGGTATGGGAGACACCAGTACCTGACGCTTGAGCGGCTTCATCTTCCACGGCGTAGTGA